TGAAACCTGGGCCAATCCAGAATATGAGAACAATACCTCAGGCGGGGGAATTCTGTGTAGTTTTCGGTAAATAAAGACTTTCACTTGGCATCTGGGGATTTGTTGTGATCTATGGAACTTTCCAATATCATTCTCAAGGAAGTGGACCTCATTTTCAAAAGCTGCCCTTTGATCTACTACAGAGTGATCATAGGGCATTTGTACACAACACCAGAGTTTAATTCTCCCTAAATTGAAGTGGTGGCGTTTTAAAAACACTGCTTCGGTTTAGGGCAAAGTAAACCCCTGTGTCGTGTATACCCGTGTGGGGGCCCAATCTTTACCTGTCTCTCTAGTGGTGGGGAGGGGAGAGCAAGCTGCTGGCAGGCCAAGTGGTCTCTGAGCTGCAGGGGGGAGGCGTGGGGGCCTGGTACTTCCCTCCACAGCAGCGGCGGCCCCCACCCAGGCAGCCCCCTGCCAAAGGCACCTGGCTTGGACAGTCTCAGAGGGCACCACAGCCACAGAGGGAAGCACCGGGCCCCTGCACAGCTCAGGCAAGCAGGCAGGCTCCGTGGGGGGGGAGCCTTTTTAAAAGATCAGGCTTGTCGCTTTTTTTTTCCCTGCTGTGGAGCCCACCTTCCTGGGTTGCCTGCAGAGTCTGCCTGCACAGCCCCTGAGCCACACGGAGCCTGGTGCTTCCTTCTGTGGCTATACGGTAGAAGACTAAAACTCTTCGGAGGTGTTTTACTTTGCAGCGCCCCAAAGTAATTTTCTGTGTCCCAAAGTCATTTAAGGCACATTACGCCGCTGAATGTGCTACAGCAGCTGGAATTATCGTGCGATACGCCACCGAATGTGCAAGCAGCAATGCCATTAAAGGCATTTAACCTGCTTTAAACCCACTTTAAAGTGTTGTCTACAAACGCCTATAGAGTCTAGGTCCTCCGCACCCAGTTGAGAGGACTACAAAGCTGTACTAGGGAGACAACCATAAAAATCCAATTAAAATCAAATTAAAATCAACACTATGGTGTATGTGTCTCTTTCTTCTTCACACCATAGCTAAATCTGCGCAGCACCATAAACAGGATAATGGGTACTGATTCTCAGCATGAAGGCAGCAAATTAGCCTGCCCTCAGAATCAGGTACACCCAGCTATCCTGCTTCCATTCCAGGAAGTTGCATGCCCATAACAACCTAGCATGTTTGAGGCTGTCTCAGCTGCTGGGCACTGTATGTTTTTAGACTAAACATGACTTTAATTTCCTTACTTCACCCTTACTTGTTATAGATTCCACATTTATAGTGTTCTGTTTTTTGTATGAGTTATGCAGAAATCGAGCTTTTCTCTTTGTAGAGACATATTATTGGCAATTCTCTGTGCACCTCAGAAATAGTCTGTTCAGAAAAGCTTTTGGAATTGAGTAGTATCTGTTTCATCTGAAAATTGAAAGTATGAACCCTTCTTTGGAAATATGAACTCTCCATGCATCTCTCCAGCTGTAATAAATAGCTGATGAACACAGTGCCTGGCTGTGTTCCCTTGTCTTTTTGTTTATGGATCAGTGAGGTGAATGAATCAAAGGAATTATTGAGTTGTGTGCACATGCGTACAGCCCAAAGCTGCAAAGTGCAATACTAACGTAATCATCTTCTATCAAGCGAAAGCCATTGCCAAAGCATCCTAGCTTCAAAGGTATTTTCTCTAAAGTAAAAGCCACCTGCAAAAAAGAACATTCTTGGTCTGAATAGCTAACATTATTGACTTTATTGACCAAGAGAGTTCTATCCTTTATACAAGCAAATGCGCCATTGCATTTCCAACACAAGAAAGACCAGAACTCTTGTTTCAGACATTTTGAGAAAAGAACGAGTAGTATTTTTTGGAAGCTACAGGAATGTATGAGGGAAGGTTTGATGTAATAAGGGAAAAAACTAATGGAGAACTTCATCTTTTAAATGTCTCCAATTCATTCTGTCCAGTTCTTTCTGCCACCGTCATAGGATACACTTTAAGGCACTGTAGCATATTGTACCAGAATCACTTCTATGTGCCTTTCTACAAGACTGTTGAGTGACAACAGGTGCTGGCTCCAGTCCCAGGTTATTATAATGAACCCAGCATGAAGAAATGGTAATGCAAATCAATCGGTGAACTGAGCAGCTCAGGGTGAAAGGGCTCAGAGTTTGATTTACATAGCAAGAGCTTTTTCTAATCATTATCTTGTTTTTGATTTTGTCTGCAGGAAGCAGTGTTGACTAGAGTCAAGTCTTGCTAATGTGTACTTTTCTGAGCCACACATTTTATAAGAAGCAGAGAAAAGTTCATGGTCATTCCACATCCTTTCACTGAGATTTGTCAGGAGGTAGAATCCTAGAAAATGAGGGTTGGCAGGGACCTCAAGGGGTCATCTAGTCCAACCCCCTGTTCAAAGCAGGACCATCCCCAACTAAATCATCTCAGTCAAGGCTATGTCTAGCCAGGTCTTAAAAACCTCTAAGGATGGAGAGTCCACAACCTTTCTAGGTAACCTGTCCAGTGCTTGCCTACTCTCCACATGAGAGAGTTTTTCTTAATATCCAACCTCAACTTCCCTTCCTGCAACTTGAGACCGTTGCTCCTTGTTCTGTCACCTGCCA